CCAATCCGGAATTCCAAGGGAATTAAGGGAAAAGGCTGTGTGAACCAGCATTTTTCTGACCAGAAAGCTATTTGATATCTTTATTGTGGCCCCACCCTTCTACTTGTGCACTTCGTAAAGTTAGTGGAAGTTAAGGTTGTGTTTACTCATTTGACTAACACGGGCCTTCTTAGATCATTTCTCTCTCCTTCGATAAATAATTAGTGCAATAAAGGGACAAGTGAATGTGGAGATATCCTATAGTAATTGACGTAGCCAGTATCTTTTACGAAATTGTTTTAAAGAAAAAAAATAACTTGCAAAATTTCTTCCCTAAGGACTGGGCTGTCAGGGATATTTTGTGTAATAATCTGGCCTCCAGCTATAAGCTTCCCCATACTCAGAGCAGCATTACTCACAAAAGCCAGAAGGTGGAAGCAGCCCCCGTGGCCACTGAGGGATGGCTGGATAAGCAGATATCCCTACAATAGAATTCCATCCAGCTTAGAGGGCAGGAAGTTCAGACACATGCGAGGACATAGAGGGACGTTGAAGACATCCTGGTAAGTGAAATAAGCCAGTCACAAAAGGACAGATATATTGCTCCTCTTATATGATGTACCTGGAGTCGTCATAGTCATAGAGATNCCTGGTAAGTGAAATAAGCCAGTCACAAAAGGACAGATATGATATTGCTCCTCTTATATGATGTACCTGGAGTCGTCATAGTCATAGAGATGTAGGCTGGTGGCTGTCAGCTGAGAAGGGGCAACGGGGAGTTATCGTTTAATTGGTGGGGAGTGTCAGTTTGGGGGAAGTTCTGTAGGTGGATGGCGGCGATGGTCGCACAACACTGTGAATGTACTAATGTCACAGAACTGTACACTTAAAAACGATCAAAATACTAAATTTTATGTATATTTTTCAAAAAACTGCTGACCGAAACCTTCCAGACCACCCCAGCTGGATGCAAACTAGCTTGAGTGCCATTCCCCGGGCCCTTAGGTGCTGCCCTGAATTGTTGCTTCTCACACGTGAATGTCGTGAATGTCGTCTTCTCAGACAAGGAGCCTCCTGGCGCAGGAGGCAGCTGGATGGGGTGGGAGGGGCACAGACACAGTCAGGATCCAAACTTCATACTGTGTCCAGTCTTCAGCCACACACTGGCTACGTGCCCATGAGCAAATTATTTATCCCTCAGTTGGTTTCCTTATGTACATTTATATTCAGAAACAAGGTTCTCACTGCACTTCCGCGAGGGCTAGACGAGATGACGTGTAGGGAGCCCCGTTCTGTGCCAGTCATGAGGCAGTAGTGGTTTTTTGTTTTTAATGTTAGTCCCTTACCCCTTCAATCAATATTTGTGGCTTTGTTTGAATTCTAAGGGTTCTCTTTAGCAGACACTATTCTTGTCATTATTTCAATATGGCCCATTTTACCTCTGAAACAATGCTGAAATAGGACAAGTGACTGGTCTTTCTACTGCCACGTGGCATCTACCCAAGAAAACAATCTACATCATTGCCAGAAATTCATCCCAGGAGCCAGCCAACTCCACATTACTTAGGCAGAAGAGTCATTGATCTAAACTATCCTTTCCTCTACCCTAAAAACATCTTTTTCCTTCTATATACTCCTAGATCAGATATTCCTTACCTGAAGAGAGGTAAGGCTTTATTTACCAGACTCACCAGTTCTCATTTTATATTACACTGCTTACCTGTGTTTAACATCAGTGAAAGGAAGTGGGAAAAGTCCAAAGTCAAACTTCCTGAGAAATGACAGAGGTCTTCCAGGGCCTGTTAGAGTGTGTGGGAGCGCGGATTTGTGTGTGAGCTCTGCAGTGCACTGTTGGTAATTCTGGTTTTGGTAGTGGCGAGTAGGATGCTCTGATTTTAAATTATGTTTATCAAATCACTTTGCCTTTTAAAAATGTTAACCTTTCAATATTTTATTATGTCATATTATGTTGTGTAGCTTTTATAATGTGTTTTTCCTAGCTTTTATACTCTGGTGATTTTTCAATATATATATTTTTTTATTGCTGTATTTTTTAAACAAGTTGAAATGAAGCTCAAATTAAGTACAAGCGAAACCCTGCTCCGTCTGTGTCTTAGCCTCTCCCCGCCAGCTGGCTGGCCGGCCTTGGAGACACTCGTCAAGCAGAGCCTCCTGTCCTCACGACTGACACTGCTCGGTCGCCACATGAGAGGGCGTCTTCACTGGGAGCCCCGCTCTTCTCAAGAGCTTCTCTTCCTGCTTGCGAGATAGGCAGTTGGTTGGTTGTGTGTTTTTTGTTTGTTTGTTTTGCTGCCAGAGACCCACTTCTTCCTGCTCTTTTTCACCGTTCAATTCTGTACTATTAGGCTTGAAACTCTGGTCACCAGAGAACTGAGACATCACAGCTGTGTGCGAATGTTCTGAATTTAGGACATTGAACGAGTCAAATGTCTTTTTTTTTTTTTTCTTCATCTCTCTTCAGTCACTGCTTCCACCACCTGCGAGAAATTAGAAAAAGCCAGGAATGAGTTGCAAGTGGCTTACGAAGGATTTGTCCAGAAGCTGAACCAGCAGCACCAGACCGACCTAACGGAGCTGGAGAACCGGCTGAAGGAGTTCTACACGGAGGAGTGTGAAAAGCTTCAGAACATTTATATCGAAGAAGCAGAAAAGTATAAAACTCAGCTGCAAGAGCAGGTCTGTGCTTTTGGGACCTGAGCATGTTCTTGGTTATTTAAATGTATTAATTGTTGTTGGGGGATCCACTTCCTTTCATGAACTTCTTTTTGTTGAACATCCCTTGAAGAACATTTTTTTAAATTTAAAAAAGTGAAAAGGGTTTCTTAATTTTTTTTCTCCTTAGGATTAAAACAATGTACATGTGTTGAGTGAAAGGGAAGGAAATGATCAAATTAAAAACAGCAATTAATTTCCTAGGAATAATCCCTTTGTGAGCATTCTGATGTGCTGCTAACCCTTTGGTTTGAATTTCTGTTTAAAGATTTTAAAAATTGATTTCTAGACAGAGAGGAAGGGAGAAGGAGAGAGAGAGGGAGAGAGAAACACTGACATGAAAATGAAACATTGATTGGCAGCCTCCCCACAACCCAGGCATGTGCCCTGACCACGAATTGAACCAGCGGCCTTCTGGCGTGTGGGATGGTTCTCAACCAAGGAGCCACACTGGCCGTGGCAAATTTCTTCTTCTTTTTTTTTAAATGGCACTTGTTTAAGAACCCTGTTTTTCACTTAATAGTATAGCTGTGCTTTCACTTCCTTGTACCCTTTAAAACCAGTTTTCCATTTAGCAAATATCTAGAGCGCCCACTATATGCCACAGGCTAGGGACTGAGGACAGAGAGGCCAGCGTGACGGGGGGAGCCGCCGTGGTCCTGTCGCCGGCTCACAGCATCCCCATTCCTTGTGATGGACTCGCCGTGTCCTTCAGTGAGCCCTGGAGAGCTGTGCGTTCGGTCCTGAGCGGGGGTGGAGGGGAAGCCCCGGAGTGGCGATTCAAGTGGGGTTGGTCTTGACGTGCGTTACGTAGCCTTACGACGCGAGTGCAAGCTTATTTGTCAGCTTCCCTAAAGTTGCTGCTTGCTGTTCAGCTTGGGACTTTTGATTTTACTGATCAACTGTTTTGTTGTGTTTTTCTTACAGTTTGACAACTTAAATGCTGCCCATGAAACCTCGAAGTTGGAAATTGAAGCCAGCCACTCAGACGAGGTAGAATTACTGAAGAAGGCCTATGAAACCTCCCTTTCAGGCAAGAAGGCTTTTTTCGGTTTAAGTAGGATTAGATCTAACGGAGCAGCGTGAGTATGTTTCCAAGCGGAAATGACTCGTAACTTGCTCCTCCAGAGCATGCCCTGTGGCATCCCGTTTGGGTGTTTTGGTTTCTTTCGGCCTTGCTCAGTGTTAGCAGATGACCTTTCCCTTAAGGGCGCAAATAACAGTTTGTTATAAACGACAGCATTTTAGGAAGTAGGCGGACTTTTAAAGAGCTTAAAGGCCTTTTAGGAAAGCTGTAGCTGAGCACCTTGGGTGCTGGGCCGTGGAGGTGTTAGTCTGCACCCTGGCCGCGGTCCGGGGTCCGTGCCAAGCACTCCAGCTCACCGACACACCGACACACCAGCGCTGCTGTGAGAGGCAAGACGGCGCTTGTTGAATAAAGAAAGGATCGTTTTTACTATGTCATCACGGTTGGAGGGGTTGAAGTCAAAGGAAAAGAAGAAGCTGTTTCTTTCAGAGGGCATGGTTGGCCGTGCAGCTGAAACCGTCACACTGAATTCATTGTATCCCACAGACCAGAGTGTAGACGGGTGGTAGGAACGGGCTGTGCGACCTTTGGCAAAGCCCCTCTCGTCAGAAAGCAGAGCCGTTGTGTGAAGTCCAAGACGGTAACATGTAAAAGTGACTCGCCCTGGGTAGACGTTCAGTAAATGTTGTTTTTCTTCCTTTCTGCCAGAAATGGGTGTAAGTTTAGATTTCTGTTTTGTTCACAAAATGTAAGTGGAGAACACAGGAGCTGCGGACCAGGGTTCGAGGCCTCCCCTGAGAAGCCGGCTCTGTGTTCCCTGTGTGCTCCTGGCCTCGGTGGGCCTCAGTGTAACAGTCATACTGCTTCATCATCAACTCTTATATCTGTGTACTTGAACAAGTACAGAATTCAGTGATCTCACAGGATGTTAAAAATATCACTTCTTTGCAGAAATCAAGCAAAGCCATGAATTAGAAAAGAAATCACTTGAGGATTTGCTTTCCGAGAAGCAGGAATCCCTAGAGGTGGGTAAATCTCAATACCAAAAAACAAAAACGAAAACAAATCATCGTTCTTGAGGGTTGAGGTTTGTGCGGTTCGGGTAAGCTGCTGTGCACATTTTGCCACGTTTCTGGCGTCTGCATGTTGACTTATGTCCCACTTTTCATTATTTGTGTTTTAGAAACAAATCAATGATCTGAAGAGTGAAAATGAGGCTTTAAACGAAAAGCTGAAATCAGAAGAACAAAAAAGACTCTCAAGAGAGAAGGCGAATTTAGTAAGTTGTGCACGATCGTCCATCACTACCGAGTTTATCTCCTTAGTCACCTTTGAAACTCGATTTGTGTCCAGCAGCTAGAGAAAGGGCAGGGGTTTGGAGTCCTTTTCATACTTTGCAGTGCGCTCTTTAAACTCTGTCGAACGGCTTCTATGTTTGTGGTGTCTTTGTAAGTCCTAAAAACCGACATGCAGGTGAAGCCCAATATATATTGCAGGTGGTCTAAGCTGATACCTACAAGAAGACAAGGAGCTTCCCATTAGGATCAGGATTTTATTTGAAGTCTTCATTTTTATTTTATATTTTGCCTTTTGAAATGTAGAGTTCAATGTTTTTTTAGTATATTCACAAAGTTGTGCGTTGGTCACCAGTATCTAGTTCCAGAACATTTTTATCACCTCAAAAGAACCTTGTACTTATTAGCACTCACCCCCTCCTTCACCAGTGATTCTTGTCTAAGAAATTCCCTCATTAAACATCTGATCAATAGTTCGTGCCGCCCATTTGTGTCATACATTTTGGGCGGGTCACTTGAATTTCCGTAAGTAAAGCAAGGAGTCGGGGAATCCACCCTGGAGTTGTGCTCTAAGAAGGTCTCTCCCCTTACGTAGTGTTTATTTTCAATAGACTTCTAGTTAGTGTGTGCGCTGTATGCCATGCAGGTGTTGGGGTGTCACAAAATAAAATGATGGGGCGTTACGGCTGTCCTGGAAGGATCGCCAGGCCAACACGGTCCCATCATAATGAAAACCCAGGAGACGCAGGATCTTATTGTCATTTCTGGTGTTTTCCAAGGAGCCCTGTATATGCACCGCCTTTTCATTCCTGGCCAGTTACTGACTTTGGTGAGAGAACTGTTGTTACCTTTTCTCCCCCTAGACACCGGCAGTGGTCCTGGACTTGCCCAATTTCTAGTCAGAGCTCTGTGCTGTGTCGTTAAGCAACAGTTCTCCCCTACTCCCAATCAAATATTTGGTGCTGCCAATATGTTTAAGAATTTGAACTGTGCGATCGTATTTTAACGATCTGCCAGAGCTACATTCTGCCATGTCTTTCCCAGAAAAACCCTCAGATCATGTACCTGGAGCAAGAGCTGGAGAGCCTGAAAGCCGTGCTGGAAATCAAGAACGAAAAGCTGCACCAGCAGGACGTGAAGCTGATGAAAATGGAGAAACTGGTACGTACGTGCCTTTCGGGGCCTCACCAGAGAGCGCGGAGCCTGAGAAGTAGGAACTGGGCTGTGAACTAGAACCGTGGAGTTGTTTTAACTGCTCCTGAAGCTATTTGAAAGTATACAAAAGGCAAAAGAGGTTTCATTTTCTTTTCTGTGTTTGCTCAAGGCTTGGTCATTGATGCCTTCAACATTATTTATTTTTTTTTTTTTTCAAGTAACATGTAAAGCAACATTGGGTCTTTGGAAAACCCACACAAACTAATCAGGCTCCCATTTTAGTGGTCTGTGAATCTTCACCTGCATAAGGAGAATTTTTAAATAATGTAGCATCAGTACTTCAGTGTATCACCAATTCTGGGCAGTTGTCATATGCCCCAAACAGTTAGGTATGGGAAGTAATCACATTGGAGCAATTTAACATTGCTGTCTGAGTTCTTCAGCTTGCTGCCTATGAGTGAGATTGGGATAAAAGAACTGGACTTTAGTAAAATTAATACAGCTGGATAAATAGCAAGCGTTATAAAAACTGTGGATGAAATTTAGTTTGTAGCTCTAGGACAGAGAACTGATGTTGGCCTGTGACACATCTGTCCAGAAGTACATGTTTGAGTGTTGTGCCTAGTGTTCCCTGTGAGCCTAGGCCCAGCCCTGGAGCACCCGTGCTCTAGCCAGGAGTCCCATCGAGTGAGCAAGCGCTTGGCAAGGCCACCTAAGTGATCCCAGCCTCTGCTGACCCTGCCCACTGCCTTGCACTGCTTGTCCCGTCCCCCAATTCTGAGTGACTGCTGAGTTAGTGCCTCATTCGAACGCAGACCTGCCCTGGACAATAGGGAGCATGAACTCACTCTTTGCTTGTTTGTTTGTTTGGGTTTCGGTGTTTGGGTGGCTTATCTTCTGGAGACGCCTACATCTCAGTTGAGGGAGGTAAGGGCTAAGCCGCCATGTGAATACATGGGCACTTGGAATTACCAGGAAATTTTGATTTTTTTTGAAAGGAAAGAAAGGAACTCCTGGTTTGTTCATAGGCCCCACCTAGTACATATACCAGTTCCCACCAAGGGTCATACTGCTCTGAGAAGCCTGGTAACTACTTCTCCAGCAGCCCGTGGTGACTCAGATCGCCCTGTGAGCAATGTGCTGCCCCTTCTGTCTTTCATGCGTCAGAGTTTTTCAGAGTATCATGGGCTGTACGAACAGACTCTGCTGTAAAACCAACACATTTTCATTTTCGTTGGTCCATAAATATTTGTCTCTTGCCGTGCCCAAGAGCTATCATGATATTACTCAGCACTGTACTCTGTGGATGTGGAAGAATGGGTTGGAACGATGACAGGTAAGCCCACCATCTCCTGTTCATTTGTAAGATCCAGGTCTTTGTGAACAATAGGACAGCTGGAAAGCAAGGCGGCTTTCTCAGTATGAAACAAACTCTGCCACCAGGTAGCTCTGGGACGTCACCAGGGCTAGTCTCCTCTTCTCTACAGTGAGGACTTGGCCGTTCACTGTTCTAAGGCCAGTCACTGCCCAGTCTCGAAGTGCAGATTTCCCACCCATGTTTTATCTTGAATTCCTTTCTAATTCCTGGAAATTCCAAGGCCCCCTTTTTCTTACATTCTAGTCTCATCTTTTAGAAAATTATTTCTCCTGCTTGACTTGTCCTGAGCACTTTCTGGATAACAAGATATATTGAGAACAATAGGATCCCAGACTCAGAGCCATAATCAGAGTAGAGTAGTCACATGGTACCATGACAGGGACTTAGAATTGTGACAGAGCTGTGACGTCGCCTCCCAAGCAAGTAATAAAATCTTACCTTTAGGAAGGGAGCTGGGATGTAATCAGCTCTTCATGTTCAGTGTCTTCTGGGATTTTTTCCTCTCATCTCTCAACCGATCAATTTGGTTTCCTTGAAAGCGTAGCTGGGCAGACCCGAGGAGGGAGGCTTTCTGTACTTTCGTTTCTCTCGTTGGATGCTCTACAGAGCTTTGTAAATTGCTGCTTTGTGTAGCCACTGAGAGGTAAATAAATGCTAAAGAGGAACTAGGAAAACACATTTAAGGCCATGTTAAACATAGCGCAGAACTGTGACCTGTTGGCCTTACGAGTTTTCATCAGACGTGGGAATTTTTTATTTTAATTTTTTTTGCAAGACAGTCTATGATATTCTGAAAAATTTTGATGCACGAAAGACATATGGGGCAACAAATTATTAACAGGGTTATCTGGTGCCCTTGATAAGCACAGGATCATGTCTGGCTGCTGCTTTTGTTTTACCACCTTGAACCTCAGAGGCACAGGTGGGTCAGGACACCAGCTCTCGGGGGCACTTCTAAAACCATGCGACCTGGACCAACTCAGTTACCCAGCTGTGTTCAGTTTTCAGGTGGCTCTTGAAAACTGACACACATTTTTAAAAAAAGCAGATGCTCTGTTTTGCTGCTTCAGGTTCTATTTTGCAATGCGTCCATGTATAGATATTTCAGTGTACAATTTAAATCTTCAGTCAGATCTCTCCAAAGTGTACTTGTGTTAGGAGTTTGCCTTAGGAAACAAGGGGCTTTATTTACCCGATCTTAACGTCTACTTACCGGCGTTCTTGTTGACGCCCAGGTGGACAACAACACGGCGCTGGTTGACAAACTGGAGCGATGTCAGCAGGAGAACGAGGAATTAAAGGCTCGGATAGACAAGCACATTGCAATTTCAAGGTAAAAAGAGAACGGTCCCGTTTTCCGATCTCCTCCCTTCCTCTTACGTTGAGCGTTCCTTTACCACGCTCCACCCAGGAAGTGTGTTTGGAGAAGGTGCCGTTTTCCATCTGGAAAATGGGAGGGTAGCACCTCCTGCTTTTACCGCAGGGGCCTGGACTGAACACTGAGACCTGGGCAGGCCAGCCTTCCCCCCGGGCCCTGGCTCACTGACGCTGAGAGTTCCTTCAGAGAAGGAGCCGCCCAGGGCCCAGTAGGGAAGAGCCCCGAACGTAGGACAGTCCTGAGACATGCTGGTTGCCTGGGGGAGCGTCGCTGAGCCTCCTGTGAAATTGGCCCCAAGTACAGCTTTCTCTTGGGCTCCAGTCCCCAGTCCCTGGGCCTCTTAGCCATTCAAATGCCCATGCCCAGTAGCTCCATGCAGGACTTTCCTTTCCTTATTCCAAAGGGGTGGTTTTTCTGCACTCAAATTTAAAACGGTAAGAACAACTGTTTTCAAGTACATTTCTTTAGAAACTCAGATCCCCGCGGTTCCTGGCTCTCTCTTGTCTTTAAGGCAACTTACCACGGAGCAGGCCGCCCTGCAGGAGTGGCTGGAGAAGGAGTCGAAAGTCAACAAGCGACTCTCCATGGAGAACGAAGAGCTGCTGTGGAAGCTGCACAACGGGGACCTGTGCAGCTCCGACAGGTCCCCCACGTCCTCCGCCATCCCCTTCCAGTCGCCGCGGAATTCTGGCTCCTTCCCCAGCCCCAGCGTTTCGCCCAGATGACGCCTCTGGACGCGGAGACTGTCTGGGAGCACTGTCACGGGCCGGGCCGCAGGACTGACCCCAAGCGAGGGCGTGGGGCGGAGCGCCCCGCGAGCTGACGCGGTGTCGCCGCGCTAGAACTGCAAAGTCCCGACCCCCCCGCATCGGCTCCTCGTGAGGCGGGAGCCCCGGAGGAGCGCGTGGCTCTCTGGCCAAGAGACTCCTCCCCAGATGATTTCGGAATCGATCTGCACAGACATTTGCACAAAGCACTTAAAGAACATTGCCTTTTCCACGGAAGCGTAAGGGGGAAAAACTCTCAGGGGCCTCTTCAGATAAAGATTTATAACCTTTATAATGTTCTTCACCACAGGCACCTTCTTGTGATTTCTATCTGGGGGATGTGTGAATAAAATGATGTAGTGAGTGTCCTGTGTCTGATGCTATATTTCTGGATATGTACTAATCAGCTAGGTCAGTGTATGAGTTTCTGCAAAAAGCCATAGAAGAGCGAGCAGCGGTTGCTTGGATGAGGACTCTGCCACCCGCCCCGCCCCGCCCCACGGGGAGGGGGAGCTCTGTGCAGTCTCCATCCTTTCGAAGCTTCTTGGCATTCTTTTAGTGTTCAGCCATGTCAGTTAAAACTAACTAGATGTTTTTTCTGTAGATTTTTAACTTTCCCATGTGAACCTAACATTTTACTACCACGATCCATTTTCTCAGGCTATGAGCAGATGCAAAACCCTAATGTTTCTAAAACCCTGTATAAAGAAAAGGGGCAGCAGCCGTGCATCGCTTCTGCCTTATGTTTCCCTTGACCTAAGCTGTCCTCATTGATGTCAACTATTCGTCTCCTCCCATTATCCTCGCTTCCCCCCTTTCCTTCCTCCCCCAGCCAGAGCCACAAAAGCAAACCTTCTACCTCCTTCCTATTGTTCTCTGGGACAAGGGTAATGGAATATGCTCTTCCAGAGCCAGCTCATCCTCAAGGTGCTGAGACCACTCTCCAAGTAAACCACAGCCTGGATCTGAGAGGACAAGTTCTGGGAAACCCTAGAGGGAATAAAGGATGAGAGAGTCATTGGCTAGCAGAACTAAGAAAGGTAGAGTCAGTGCTTATCCGTGAATAGGAGTACCTTGATTAAACCAATGATGCAACATTTAATAGAAGATAACGCTAAGTTTCCATGTACCCTTTGAGGACCCCTCCTGTCTTTGGGAAGGTAGAGTGGCCAGCTTACAAGTAGGAAATGTGGCTTCTAGACCTCTCCTCAAGGTTGCATTTCAGTTTCTTTTCCAGACTTACTACTTCCCCCCAATTCTAATACTTTGGGGGAGGTGGAAGGAAGCACTGTGGCTTTCCCCCCTCTCCCTGCATGTGTCCACATTGTGATGTCAGTATTTACTAACCTGCAATGCTGATGTTAGACGGCTGTACAAATAACCCCGATAGTAAGAGCAGATTCAGGATACTAGAAGTGGCTATTTGAGTCATAATTTACGTGTACACTCCATAGCAAATTAATATTCATGATGCATGTTTATTTTTTGTATTATTAGTGATTGTGTCTGAAGTCTAAACTTCAGCAGTTTATTATGTATGTTACCTGCCATGTTTGCTTCTGAAAAATGGGAACTAGGCTCACTGTCACCTTCTGAAATATCTCTGTGCTTATCCTTTCAGGTTGTTCTCTATGTCATTAGCCAAAGTTGGATTTGCCATCTGTTCCCTCACATGGTAAATCTTGTGCTGTTACCTGCTCTCCTCCATACCATTCAGGTGTCTGGGGAAATCAATCTTACACAGTTAGTATAAAATGTCTTCAGAGAATGGGAGACAACTGGAGAGAAGATAGGAAACAAAACAGAGAACTTAAAGATTTTTCTCAAACCAAATGTTTCACATAGGATGCAAAATGTCGGCACGTCGTGAAATATACGGATGTGTAAAAACTATAATTGTGCTCAGTTTGTAATGATGCAAAGTGTATTTTTACCTTGATTAAATAAATAATGCTGGAATATTTAATATAAGAGGTGCAACCTGTGATGTACTTCAGTCTCCAAAGTGTTATCCAGTGTTAGCCACCTCCCAGCACAGGAGCTGACCTGTCTCCTCCTCAGCTATTTCCCAGGAATTTCCAATGAAACTGCAAAATTGGCTGGGGGCTGAAATTTGGCTCACAGAGCTAAACTTAGAACAAAGCTTTTCTTTTCTAAATTCAAAGCTATGTGTTTTGGAGAAATAACGTTTGACTGGTTTTTAACAATTTCTGCTCTTTAAGGTAAGAAATTGGAACAACTATGGTCTTTTAAATATTTTTGAAGATGCTAAAAAAGGTCTAAATGAAGTGGAATTTTCCTTGATCTGTATACCTATTTTATATTGATAATTAAACTTTTAAAAACACATACATAGATCTTACTGAATGTACTAATCTAGAACTAGTACTTCTGAGTACAGCAGTTTTTTAAAAAAAATAAAAAGCAAGTTTCTATGATATTTTTGGATACCTTCATATCATAGTTCATATAGTTGAATTATATATTACTACATTTTTTGATGCTCACGTATTATGGTTAAATCAATGGAATATTGGGTATTCACCCAAACATTACTACCAACAAGACCTTCTGCCAACCGAAAAAAACAAGCACTTAGCCCAGTTTTAAATTTTTTTTACAAAAACTTGCTCATTTAATAATGATTATATAAAGTTGTTTACATATATGCTTTCTGAGTGTAAAAACTAGAAACGCATATACGTCGGTAAGCAATCAAGAGACATGCTTTCTGTCAGGGGGGTTAACACTTCTATCACTAGACCGGGTGCCTGCCTGTTCGTCTGGATGCCGGGGTTTGGCGCTCGACCCGGCCTCTGGCAGGGCACCGGCCAGAAGCGCCCGCGCCGGTTGTGGGCACAAACGGGCTCCCGTCAGTTCATCCCACTTCGCTTTCCAAGTCAGGAAAACTCAACAGTGGTAGCTACTGTGGTCTGCCCTCGGAGGTTCTGGGCCGTGCAAATGTAATACCCGGCATCGACGGTCTCAAAGTCTCCCACCGTCAGGACGCTCTGCGAGATCCTCGTGGTGTGCCCCAGCCCTCTCTGCACCAGCCGCCAAGTGTCCTGAATGGTCACGGGCCTTTCATCCTGTGTAACGACACGCCAGGGCCTGAAGTGAGGAGGACCCGCTGCCAGGCACGGCTCCCGTTTCACTCAGCGCGGACCATGCGTAGGAGAGACTCTGGTATTTGTGGCCCACGGACGCTCTCGCACCATAATCATTTTCGGCTGCGTGTTTTTCACAGCAGAGTCGGGGACTTCACTATGCTGTTGGACTCTCTTTCTGCCCTTTTTCTTTAAAGTTTCTACCTAATATAAGATTGATTCTTTTGGAACTCCAAGGACTGTAGACCTGGCATTAGTTTTAAAAAGTGGATACAATTTCCCACCCTTCTCTTTCCATTGCCCACTTTCACCCTCTCACACAGTGGTTCTTAGTCATAGAATTTCTGGTCAAAAAGAGCCCAAAGCGCTCACTATGCAAGTGAATAAAGCTCGCGATTGTTCAGATTTGGGAGAGAGAGAAGCACAAGTCGAACATGCGGAGGGCTTCAGGGGGGGATAAGTTGTACCAGTGATGCCCGAAGTGACAACTCCGTTTCTAAAAGGTCAGATGGTCACTTTTGAGAGGCTTCATCCAAATTTGATGATAAGAATGTAGTGTTTTGTGGATTATCTTAACAATTATTATAGTGCTACTAAATTAATCCCCATTCTGCTCCTAAAATAATGAGCAATTTAAAAAAATCTCTATTGAAAATCATGACTGTCTTGTAATCGTGACAACTGTGTAAAACAAGTACCGGGTACCAGCAGGTTGGAAAATACCCTTCTCCAGGGAGAGTTCTTTCCTGCCAATCACAGCCCGTGAGCCAGAAAGGCGTTGGCTGCTGAGCACATCCCGGGAGGCCAAGTCTCTTGGCAACAAAGGGATTGTTCCATGTTGGTAGCAGAGCTATTTATGTTAGTGAGCAGAGCATGCACAGAGGCTAAATAATAAGCTGTGGTTGCTTTAATGGGAAGTCTATTTAAAAACGGTCGCTGGCCTCACAGCACCTTTTGGACGGGGCCTGCGGATGTCTGCCCAGAGCTGCTCGCCACGGGGCACAGCTTGTATGCAAGACACTCAGACACCAGAAGGAGGTTAGATGGGCCTCTAATCGACCTTGAATTAAGACTGAAGGTTGAGGTTGGAGGAAGAGGGAGGCCCCTCCTGTCCCTTTCAAGCCCCCGTTCCTCCTCCTTTAAGGATTATGAAGAAAAATCACTTAGGAAGAAGGTACACTGAGTGAATTGTCTAATCAAACCCAGTCACCTTTCTTCTTGTCTATTTAAAAAAAAAGCGATTTGTAAACATACTGAACCATCTTAGAAAACAAGCAAGCCCTGGTGCCGCCGCAGTCCCGCCCATCTCTTGCACTGTCTAAGTTAAGGTCTTCACCAGTGGCAGGCCGCGCAGGGGAGACAAACCCGCATTAGAACAGCTGGAAGTGCTTACCTTCTGCCCGGGGTAGATCCACCTGAACTCCACCTCCACGTCGGGCTCCCCTAGGACAGTGCAGAGCACACTGATGCCATCCCCGCTTTTTACTCGGTTTGAGGACGCCAAGATGGTTGTGGACGGAGGGCCGCTGGGAACTGGCATTAAGCAGGAGACAGGGAAAGGGAGATGAAATCCATGAGTGTGACACTGAAGACAAACTACAGACACATTCTTGTCTTTGGACAGATGTGAAACATTTCCGCCACCCCCCGTTAGCACCAGGCCTCCTCCATCCCACCACTTTTGGGTTCTTGGAAGCCTCCCCTCTCTCTACCTTGGTGGTCTGAATGGGGTCACCACCCATACGCCCCAGGCCCAGCCACTTCCCCTGTAATTAGGGAAGGAGGCTCAAAGGTCTGCCGGGTTCATCTGACGGAAATTAAAAAGCTCAGAGAGAAGGAGGCGCTTGGGGATCAAGCAAGTGGAATGTAGAGCGGGCCACCGCAGGGGTGGAGGCGAACAGGAGGGTGGGGGCTGTCCACCCTCAGAGAAGAACATCTCAATCTAGTGAGAGAAAGGTTGCAGGAGGGGCAGAAATGCGGCCTATGTCCCCAGTGTCACAGCATCTCGAACAAACGCCACTATGGTCAGTTCACTCAATTGCATCGGATGGCAGCCTTGAGCCAAGCAGTGTCCCAGCTAGGAGCAGGGACCATAGCAGAGGACCAGACACATGTGCTCTCTGAGCCCTGGGGCCTGGATTCCAGAGGAGGCGGCAGACACAGAGCAAGTAACCGTACGGTTAATTTTAAAGGAGTGTGTTAAGAGCTAGAAGGAGAAGCCCAACGCGTTCCAGAAGTTCAGAATCGCCTGCGAATCAGGAAGGACTACCTTGAGGAAGCAATGTTTGGACTCAAATCTGCAGGGTGAGCGTAACAGGCCTGGAGGGAGACCCGGGGCACTGTCCAACTGGGATTCCCAGTGGCAAAGCCGCAGTACCTGCCACCGACCAGCTGGAAGCCACTGAAGTCCAGGCCCGGCAGGAGGCACGCTCACCTTCGGCGTAGAGGAGCTGGTACTTGACGGAGATCTGCGACTTGCCCCCCGCCTCGGCCTTGCAGTAGACCACGCCCTGGTGGTCAGAGTGGGGCTGCAGGTACACAAAGCCTCTCTTCACGTCGTAAACAATGTCTGTTCCATTGGCCGGGATTTCCTTGGCCGGGAACTCCCTGTGGAGGGTGACTTTGGCGGACAGGACAGTCACTCGACAAGGAACCACAGCCTGTCTGTCCGGGTTCAAGTAGACAACATCAAAGTAACTGGGAGAAGGCACAAACAGTTCTCCTTTCTCTGCAAAGGAAAAGACAGGGGCTTGTTTGTTCTGGAGAAACAAGGTAAAGGGCACTATATGGATTTGTGCCTCCAGGGCGCAAAGATAGGGGGGGACCAGCTACTTTTTAATAATTTTCCTTTTTTAGAAAATAGATGTTACTTCCCAGCTCCTTAAAGGAAATAAAATAGGTCTTAGTTCAGGTCCAAATCAGGCCCATGGATTATCCCCCTGAGGAAGGAGGGAAGGAGACTGGTTTCCTTACGTTCAGAGCAGTTTTAAAACCTGGAAACAATCCACTGTGTCTCTAGAGAAATTAGCCCCAGAACCTATGTTCAGTAAGTGCCTCTGGAGGTGGTTCCCCCACAGCAGAGCCCCTCTGAGAGGTCCAGGCCACTGGACCTCATTTCTGCCATGGTCTGTGGAAAGGGAATCGCGTAGATGTACAAGGAACCTGCTAATCTCAGGTTCTGAACTCAGCTTGGCTACCACTGGGCTGGGGACCTCCAGCCAGTTCCTAACTCCTGTTTCCTCTGAAGTCACTCTGTGTGTTCTTTAAGCTCTAGAAAACGGTATTTTCATCTTACAGAAATGAGGGCTGGTTTACCCATACTTTCCTTAGTACAAAGGACTCTGAGTTGGGGGTTATTTTGCTGTTGTTTTGGTTTGTTTTTGGCATGGCACATTAAATCTTTTGTTTTCTATACTCTGAGAGACTATTATAGTAATTAAGAGAAATCTTTTAACTTAATTATACCCCAACATTTGTTCAATTGTTTCCCATGTTTTTCCTGTAATGTTCCTGAAACAACCAGTTATTCTTGGCTTTCTCCTTCACAATCCTTCTTTGTGCCATAGTCATATGATGTTTTGGGTTAGGGACAGAATTTCTGGACATGTCATCAAACGTCTTCATGAGCCAAGAGTTCTTTGGGAATGGGTGCAAGTTAACTGACATGGAGGTCCTTCCTCGTGCTCTGACTGAGGTCAAGGAAGAGTATGTCATGGCTCAGAGACTCCCTATCTTTTGCTAGGCTTTATATTAGGCCAGGTGATTCATGCTACTTCATGAGAAACTGACTTGCAGACTTAGGCAAGGGACACCTTTGTCAACGTTGTACCTGACAGTCCTGTGTTCACAAAGAGTAAGTCTGCATGGCCTTGGATGCATCATACCCATTTGTAAAGAGAAGAACCCAGAGTAGATAGTATTCAAGATATCTTTTTGGCAAAAACATTTAAGGAATGCATGATTGTAAGGTTTAGAAGCAACTTTTGTTTTGAGGTTTTGTCAAGAAAACTGAACCAGTGCGCAAAGCCAGTAGGATAGCAATCAGCATTTCAGAGCACAAAAATGTGGTCTTGCTTCTTGGACATGCTTTGAAAGAAGTGGCCACACCAGTTGGTTTAACAAAGAAAAACAAACACACACATTTGTTTATAATCAGTACATTCCATCTACACAAAAAAGTATGTTAAAATTCATTAAAAAAATGGTAGATGGCATTTGTCCCTGAAAATGTTTGTATTTACTTGAGTAGATAACAAATATTACTTTAAGAAAACTAAATACATGAAAATTTAGATTTCCAAAAAAATTAGAGTTAATAGGCTGTAAACTAAAATCCAAATTGTAACCAACTCCAGTAAAGTGCTCATTAATGTGGTTTTACTACATATGAAGATTGGATCCCAAGCCCTTTGCCAGTAATACTCTCCTCGATCTGGTGGGAGTTACATGTGACTTGACAATAATTTATTGGGCTGTATAGTTAAGATTACTGTATTTTTCTTTGTTATACTTCAATAAAAAGTTAGAGAGGGGGGGAAAAACCACACACTTGAGTGCCTCCTGGATAGGATTAAATATAATATGTGACAATCGCACAAATTGACACAAAAATTGCACAAATGAACAACAGTCAAAAGGAAGCATCACAGCGTTTGCAATCAAACTCTAGGAAACACGCACACATGATGAATGCCAGACGTTGCTCTGTGTGGGTAGAGGGGAAGCATATGTTCTGAAGGGATCCGGGGCCAGCAGCAGAAAGCTCAGCTCTCATAACAGCCCATCTTGGTTCTGCAAAGCCCTCCACTCCTGAAAAGACAAACTGCTAAACCCTGTACTGAAAATCCAACTGGACTCTTAACTTCGTGCTAAGGAGTAAGAAAATGATACAACCCATTGGTTCACCTCCCTTTTTGACCCAGGTTTCTTGAATGTTGAAATTAATAATTTGGGGGGGGCATTTCTTTGATTCACAAAGGGGCTTCCATAAATTGAGGAAGAAGACCTGCCTGTAAAACTCAAAGAGAGCCCATAATCCTAATAGGACATTCTGCTCAGGGAGCCCTACAGTTCAAAATCTCAGTTCAAAAAAATGTGGGGAAGACACAATAGTGCTGTGACACAAAAATCTTCATTCTGCAATTTGCAATATGGTCTCCAGCTGCATCCAAATTAACAGGCTCCTGTTAGTCTTCATTGGTTGCCTTTTCCACTGTTGCTCCCCAGTGCTGTATAACTAAGGCCACGTGGGCTTTCTGCGGAGCACGTTCCAGGATGAGGGTCAGAAGGGACTGCCTGTGAACAGCTGCTAGCAATTCTGGCAACACCAGTTAGCTAGCTAGTGCCTGTCCGTCTGCCCATTAATCAATCACCTGGTCTTCGAAACGGGTTGGAGCAGTGAGAACATTGGATCCTGGCTCAGAAAAGCAGGGTTTGACTCTTTACTCTGCCACAGTAAGTCATGAAACACTGGACGGGTCACCTTGCCCTCTGAGTCTCAGCACCAGCATCATTATTTCTAAAGCAGAGATAATAAAGCAGTTTCTACTTAGTTCCTGGGGGCACTGTGGGAATGAAATGGGATCCATGGGCCTCCAGGGTTGCAGAGCTCTCTGGATGGGAAGGGATTATACATGAGATTTTGTTAAAGCATTTATTAATGGCCAGGGCAGAAGATCATCTGAGTCATAGGCCTAAATCACTAAGGTCTGAAAGGCAGGTGGATTCGGGAAGTAAACAAATCTGAAAGCGCCTGCCCAGACACTAAGAAAGAATTCTGACTTCACCAGGGGGTGGCATCTGTAAGATCCCTGAAAGCTGTTCCTGACTCTGGGCTTTGGAGAACGCCATCCCCTTCCTGCAAAAGGAAAGAGGCTGGCAACCTACTCTGCAATGCCCGTTTCTCCAAGGGCAATTCCACTGGCAGAAACATTCCTAGCACCACAGGGGAGGAGAAGACCTGTACCTTTTCAGGCACCTCACGTAGGCTCAGGGATTGGGGCTGGAGCCTAGAGGACCACCACCTTTGGGATTCCTGCCCCTCAAACTTCAGCTCTCAATACATGAGAATAAATACAAGGAGGCCTTTAGCCAGGCATCCTGTGACTACAGTGGCTTCAGAAAGGGGATCATCACAGGTTCTGAGAGCACATGACTCAAAATCGACAGCAGTGCTGTCCAGGAGACCTTTCTGTGATGACAGCTACTAGCCACGTGTGGCAGTGGAGCACTTGAAACATAGTAAGTGCCACTGAGAAACTGAGTTTTACATTTTGTTTAATTTTAATGACTTCCCATTTAAATTTAAATAGCCACAGGGGTCTAGTGGCTACCATATTGGACAACGTAGGTACATCTCTGGAGTCAGACTGTTCTGGGTTCAAATTCTGATACAGCCATTGCTTGCAGTATGACCTTAAGGTTTTATTGAGTCTCTCTAAACCTCAACCTCTCCATTGGGAAAAAAATAGAAATGATATGAGTACTTACCCTGAAGGGCTGTTGAGAGGCTTACATGAGCTAATCCATGTAAAGCACTGAGCCCAGAGCCTGGCAAAGAGCCGGTGCTCTGATTGTCATTATTAGATATTCAGCACACAGTGGGAACCTCTACTACAGGCAAGTCCAGATGTTTGAAGAGTTCCGCTAATGCAGCAAACCTTTTACCTATGAAGAAGATGTAGGTGGAGCCCGCTCTGGTCTCGTCCTTCCTGCAGATGTAGCCGGTGCAGAGCTGCCCCCAGCAGCTGAACTCGCCAGTGTCGGCCGCAGTGGAGTTGACCAGGGTCAGCTGGCTGTAGCGCTCGTTCTGCTTCACGCTGTCAACAGAAGCAAAGCAGGTCACACACCTGGGCCTGGGCCGGGGCCTTGCAGTCAGCGCTCCCTGCTCCCTTGTTCTCACATCTAATTGCCCAGTGGGCAGGCACAGAGTGCCCGCTCGCAGATGGCACACATTTAAAATAGTGTGTTTGGGGGAAAGGTGTGTGCAGGGGAGAGGCAGAGAGATGCCTTTCCTAAAAGGAAATTTAAAAAATGACAGTTTGTTTTCTAAAGAGGGGAAATTCCCTTTGACCTCAGAGCTGGGGCTTCCATAAGTAAAATCACTGGTGCATTGCAATGCAGCCACAGAAACTCAGCCAGAAAGCCTTGGGAAGGTGTTTTGCTTTCAGATTTGTTTTTAATGAGTTCACTGCAACAACAGTTGACGTAAATGAAATAACCCAGCGTTATCCCGTGTGCAAATCTCTTTCAGCAGTAAGGATAAGTCTTCGGACATAAGCTCAGAATCTTTGAGATGCTACAATATTGTAGTAAAAATAAAATATTTGCGTAATTCTCTCAAAATTATGCTAAGTAAAATAAGTCAGATGAAAAAAGACAAAAAACCCCCTACGATTTCACTCATATGTGGGCTATAAAACAAAAAGTAAAATAAGAACTAACTAAACAAAAACGAGTTTATAGATGCAAACAACAGAATGGTGGTTCCCGGGGTGGGGGGGGGTGAGGGTGAAGTGAGTAAAGGGGCCAGATATATGGTAACAGAAGGAAACTAGACTTTGGGTGTTGAGCACACAATCGGGTGTACAGATATAAAATTATAATCTGGTACATCTCAAAATTACATAATGTTATGAACCAATATTAATCCAATACATTGAATAATAAAAAATAAACTTTTCTTTAGACTTCTGGTCAAGATGGAAAAGAAGGTAAATGCTGTGCCCGCCTCCTCCCACAACCACATCAAAATTACAACTGAATTACAGAACAACCATCATTAAGGACCACCTGAAGACTAGCTGAACAGAAGTTCTATAACTAGGGATACAAAGAAAAAGCCATGATGGGACCACTTCTGGGTATTTATGCAAAGAAATACAAAACACTGATTCGAAAAGATAAACGCACCTCTCTGCTCACTGGAGCATTATCTACAGTCGCCAAGATGTGGAAGCAACCTAAGTGCCCATCGATAGAGGACTGGATAAAAAAGGAGTGGTGCATATATACAATGGAATATTACTTGGCCATAAAAAAGAATAACATTTTGCCATTTGTGACAACACGGATGGACCTAGAGGTTACTATATTAAGTGAAATAAATAAGACAGAGAAAAACAACTACCATGTGATTTCACTTACTTGTGAAATCTGAAATACAAAATAAACAAAACAGAAATAAGCTGATACAGAGAACAAATTGATGGTTGCCAGATGGGAGGGGGGTTGGAGGGTGGGTGCAAAATGTAAAGGGATTAAGAAGTAATTGCTGGTTACAAAAATAGTCACAGGGATGTGAAGTACAGCATAGGAAATATAGTCAATAATATTATAATAACTATGGGTAGTGTCAGATGACTACCAGACTTATTAGGGGGATCACTTTGTAAGTTGTGTAAGTGTCTAATCACTATACTGTACAACTGAAACTAATAAAATATTGTATGTCAACTATAATTGAAAAATTTAAAAACAATTTTAAAAGAAAAGGGATATTAGGTAAAAAAAATCTGAGCAAATTATGAACTTTACTTAATAACATTATATTGATCTTGGTTCATTAATATGTACCATACTAATGGAAGATGTCAATAATACAGGAACTGGGCATAGGGGATTCAGGGATTCTCTGTACTATCTCTGCACAATTATTTTGTAAATTGAAAATTGTTCTAACATAAGTTTATTATAAAAGAATGAAAAAAATCCCACTTTTCTTTAGGACAAAATGCATTAATTGCTGAGATACCGAGCCCCGATTGTGCAGTCCACCTCTGGTAAAAGTACTTAAAGCCTTGGGGCATTTGCACCTCTCCTTTACCTAACCCTATTATTTCCACTTTTATCTTCTCGTATTTTACCTCTTATATTTTTATCTTGTTCCTGTGAATATATTTAAAACCCCTTTGAAATGAGGAGAGACATAAATAAATATTTATTACTATTAAACACCAGTATTAGCCGATCGTCACTGTAATGAATTGCATCAGGAATCCAGGTGTGTCATTCTGGGACAGATGCCCCCTGGGGCACAGATGCCAAAAGAAATGGTCTTAATCTGAGGATGCATCGCAAACATCCCAAAGTTTCGGCCCTGGGAGAGCCACATACTTTTCGCATGTAGCTGAGATTCTCCAGTTGTGTGTAGCAGCCTCATCAGTGCAGTCACCCTTGAAATTTAGCACATGGGGAGATGTCCTGTGGGCTGGCCTTAAACACAGCCTGTTCTGGTTCGCCCTGAATAGCTGCTTTGCCCACCAGTTCTGCCAAGAGGCGCCTCTGTGCTCCCACTCAGTCCACTGCCTCCTTTCAACTGAACGGAAACCTCTCCTCCTTCAGGAAGCTTCTAATTACAGTCATCTCCCAGGAACCGCCCGGCTTTCTCCCAGGGATGCACTTGGCTCCCTTGTTCTCGACCCCTCAGGCACCCATGGCTTCCTGTTATTTCAATGGATGACGAAGACTTCGAGGGCAGGGACTGTGTCCTATTTATTTCATATTCTCCAAGCAATAAATCTGGGCGGCGTGCACGAAAGGACGCCCGAGAAATGGGTGGACTGAAACTGAATCGAGCTGAGGACTGGGGCTGGAAAGGACCCTGCAAAGCAGACATCCAGCTCCCAGGGTTGCTGATGTGGAAACTGAGTCTCAGCAGAGTGACTTCCCTGCGACCACAGCTGGTGAACACTGAGTCAATGACTTAGGCCAGTTAAGCATGTACTGGATACTCAGGAGATGAGAAAATGCTCATAAAGCACTTCATGCCGTGCCTGTCTCTTTGTATTATCCTAACTTTATCTTCTTTAAATACAATTTCGGGTTAGTAGTAGCTAGTTATAAATACTACCACAACAGTGACAAACAATACACACGCAAATTGGGGATAGCACCATGAGAAAAAGCAGTGGGCCTCAAGGGTATTACGATCCACTTAGGAATGAAAACTAACGTACGTGAACAACTCAGAGAATAACTAAAGGGGTGCTCACAAGAACACTAGGAATTGCGAAAAGGGACTCACCACTGAGGGTGGAAGCGGTTGAGGGCAGCTTTGAGGAGGAGGTGAGACTTCTACCAGTGGGGGTGGAAGGGGTGGACAGCAGGGGGGCCGGGAAGCAGCGAGCTCGCTTGCTCAGGAAACTCCAGGCCCACGAGGGCTGCGAGGGACCTGGCCTGCTCTGTCCATTGCCGTGGCCCCGTGAACGGTGGGTAGAAGGCACTCAATAATGATTCCCGGATCCAATCCATTCATTACGGAAGGAGTTGGGGGGCTGGGAGTCATGCGACATGAGAACAGCAAGAAGGGTGCACATCTCGCTCACCAGGCAGCAGGGACCATCCTCGGTTTGGGCGATGGGCCCACCTCAGCCAGGACACCAGTGAAGAGAACAGGAGTCAGGGAGGCAGGAGGAAGAGGAGAGGCTGAGAGGCTGCTACCAGGATGCTCAGCAAGCCCTGGGGCTGGGCTGGGCTGGGCTGGGGCTGGTGGTGGCATGGAAGCAAATTTAAGGAATGTTTTCTTGGGGAAAATGTTGACAGACATTGTGGAAGAAAGAGATATCGATAATGACCACTTAGTTTGTATTTCTCTTGGAAAGAATGGGGTTTTAACTGCCTGAAATGGAATAGTTGAGGAGAGAAAGGAGATCAGGGGTAGGCAAAATAAGATTCACTATTGGTGATTCGGGATTTGTGATCAAATGGGGGTCCTTTAAGTGCGGATGTCCTATGGGCAGCCGGAAATACAGACCTGGCACAGAGAAAAAACAGCACTAGATTTGTAATCGGCATGCCACTGATACAGAGGCAAGAGTGGGAGCTAAAGGAATGAGCGAGGTCAACAAGAAAAGCAACCAGACAAGGTGAGAGCAGGTTTAGGACAAAATCTAGGGCCAAATGAGGGGCCAGACGAAAAGAGGTAGGTAAAGGGGAAGGAAAGGATCAGGAAAGAAAGAAGAACTGGGAAAGGGAATCATCAAGGAGAAATATTCAAGAAATTGATGCTCAGAAGCATCAGATGCCTAAAGAGGGATTGGTGACCACACACACACACACACACACACACACACNGCAAATTTAAGGAATGTTTTCTTGGGGAAAATGTTGACAGACATTGTATGAGAGGTGGAAGAAAGAGAGATATCGATAATGACCACTTAGTTTGTATTTCTCTTGGAAAGAATGGGGTTTTAACTGCCTGAAATGGAATAGTTGANGGAAGAAAGAGATATCGATAATGACCACTTAGTTTGTATTTCTCTTGGAAAGAATGGGGTTTTAACTGCCTGAAATGGAATAGTTGAGGAGAGAAAGGAGATCAGGGGTAGGCAAAATAAGATTCACTATTGGTGATTCGGGATTTGTGATCAAATGGGGGTCCTTTAAGTGCGGATGTCCTATGGGCAGCCGGAAATACAGACCTGGCACAGAGAAAAAACAGCACTAGATTTGTAATCGGCATGCCACTGATACAGAGGCAAGAGTGGGAGCTAAAGGAATGAGCGAGGTCAACAAGAAAAGCAACCAGACAAGGTGAGAGCAGGTTTAGGACAAAATCTAGGGCCAAATGAGGGGCCAGACGAAAAGAGGTAGGTAAAGGGGAAGGAAAGGATCAGGAAAGAAAGAAGAACTGGGAAAGGGAATCATCAAGGAGAAATATTCAAGAAATTGATGCTCAGAAGCATCAGATGCCTAAAGAGGGATTGGTGACCACACACACACACACACACACACACACACACGTGTGTGCACACACTTCACTGGCAGAATGAGAGTCTTCGGCAACCACCAAACAAGCCATTGCAGATGTGCGGAT